GCACTGGCTGTTCTTGCAAAAGACCCAGGTTCAAATCCCAGCAACCACATGGCAGCTAACAACCATCCTTGAACTCCAGTTCCAGAGGATCTGATGCCCTCTTCTGCCCTGCGTGGGGCACTGCATTACACAGGTGCACTTACATACATGCAGGTATAACACTCATACACATAAAAAATAAATAAATTGATTAATTAAAAAACCTTTGCTTTCACAGTGGACTACTTCAAACTCTAAGAGGAAAAAAATTTCAAGCCAAAAGAACAATCTCTCGATTAAATCCAAAAATTGTATTGCCTGGATAGGCAGTGAAGGAATTAATGTGAAATCCCTCAAATAAAATTATTCAGGGCCAGAGAAATGGCTCAGTCGGTAAAGATAGTTGGCTCCAAGCCTGAGGACATGAATTCAATCCCCACAACCAATATGGTAGAAGGAAAGAACAACTCCTGAAAGCTGTCCTCTGACCTCCACACGTGTGCCCTGTGCCACAGCTGCCCCCACCCCCCAACAAATAAATGTAATTTTTAAAAGTTGGTTTTAGGCCTGAGAGATGGCTCAGCAGATAAAAGCACTGAATGCTCTTGCAGGGGACCTGGTTCAATTCCCAGCACCCACACAGCAGCTAACAACTGTCCATAACTCCAGTTCCAGGGGATCCAAGGCCTCTTCTGACCTCTGCAGGCATTTCACAACATGGGTGCATTTACACTCATGCAGGCAATATAGTCATACACATTAAATGAAAATATTTGGGGGAGGGTCTTTTTGAGACAGGGTCTCCTTGTACCCACAGCTGGCCTGGATTCACTATGGAGAACAGGTTGGCCTTAAACTTGCAGAGATCTATCTGCTTCTGCCTCCCTAGTGCTGGGATTAAAGGCATGCACCACCACACCAAGCTTAAAATAAAAATAAGTTTTTTAAAAATGGGATACTTTTTGGGGCAGCAGTGAGGAACACTGACTGGTCTTGCAGAAGACCCAGGTTTGAATCCCAGCACCCACATGGCAGCTAACAACTGTCTGTAACTCCAGTTCCAAGGGATCCTACAGCCTCTTCTCTCCTCCGCGGGCACTGCACAGCAAGGTGCACTTACCTACATGCAGGCAATACACACATACACATAAAATAAATAAAAATAATTTTTTTTAAAAAAATGAATAGAGAGCTCTGATCTCAAATATGAGTTGTCGTGGGACAGCAGCTAAGTGCTCTCAAAAAAAAGAGGGGGGGGATAGTTTTTAAAATACATAGTTCTTACAGAATGACAAGGTTTGACAGCACAGTCTCTTCTTCCACACTGGTTGATATCATTCCAAAAAGGACATGGCCTCTTCAAGTTTACCTATAAAACAATAATAGAAAAAAAGTTATAAAAATAATCCTGAGATTATAACCAACAGCTGGATTTATGACACTATGGCATGGTTCTGTTTTACCTGATTATACTATTTCTTCCATTTACTTGTCAGATTTCACTGACTTATACAGTGTTCATTTATACAATGAACAGATGCCATGAGGAAGAGAGAAGCTACCACTGAACAGACCCTGAAGAGATTTCAACAGCTTAATGCATATTTTTAAGGCAAGAAACGATAGAGAACAGTGAGACAAGTGAACTCAGACTACAGCTCCAATGAGCAGGCTTTCTAAACTCTTTCAATAGGTTTTCTCAAGATAAAATACTACAAGTGTTTGCATAAGGATTCATTTTTTAAATTATTTTTATTTTTTATGTGTATGAGTGTATTGCCTGCATATAGGAAGGTGCAGTGCACCTGTCCTGCACAAGGAGGTCAGAAGAAGGCACTCTATCCCCTGGAAATGGAGTTAATGGATAGTTGTTAGCCACCATGTGGGTGCTGGGAACCAAACCCAGGTCCTCTGCAAAAGCAGTCAGTGCTTAACCACTAAGCCATCCCTCCAGCCCCAAAATACTACAAGTGTTAAGATAATACTAAAAAAAAAAAGCCTCCTCTCGAAAAAAAAAAAATTTAATTATATTAGAGGCAATCTAATGGCTGACAAAATTAAGGACTATTTTTAGAATTTCTATTTTAATTTAACCAGCAGATTTCTAATTCTAGAAATTCTTGAAATTAAAAGCATTAGGGCTCGGGGCTGGAGAGATGGCTCAGCAGTTAAGTACACTGGTTGTTCTTGCAGAAGACCTGGGTTCGAATCCCAGCACCTACATGGCAGCTAACAACTGTCTGTAAGCTCACCTCCAACTCACAGAGATCCACCTGCCTCTGCCTCCTGAGTGCTGAGATTAAAGGCGTGTGCTACCATGCCCAGCTCAGTATTACAGTAAATTTTTTTTGTCTTGTCTTTTTGAGACAGGGTCTCCCTATAGCCCCAGCTGGCCTGGAACTCCCTATGTTGACCAGGCTGGCCTTGAATTCATAGAGATCCACCTGCCTCTGCCTCCCGAGTGCTGGGATTAAAGGCATGTGCCACCACGCCTTTTTAAAAAAAAAAAAGAAAAGAAAAAAGAAAAAAGCATTAAGGCTGTGGAGATAGCTCAGGTGGCAAAATGCTTGCCTTACAAGCACACAGGCATGAGTTTAATACCCAGAAACCATGTCAAAAAGGCAGGCATGGTGGAACATGTTTGTATTCCCAGAGCTGGGGAGGTGGAGAGCTCAGGTGGATCCCTGCCGGCCAGCCAGCCTAGCTCACTTGTAAGAGTTAGAGCCAGTGAGAGGCCCTGTCTCACAAAAGAAGTGAGTGGATGTGCCTGAGAAACACTTAAGGCTGTCCTCTGGACTCCACATGCATACTCACTGATATACATCAATGGATGGTTTCACAACCACATAGTGCACTTACGAACCAAATTTTCCTACTAAACTTTGAAACCATTTTAGGGGCTAGTGAGGTGGCTCAGCAGGTGAAGGCATTTGCTGCAGAAGCCTGGCAATCTGAGTTCCATCCCCCGCATTGACACAAAAGTAGAAGAAAATCAACTCCACAAAATTGTCTTCTCACTTCCATAGGCATGGACGTGAAGGCATGCACACATGTGCACACACAAACAAAATAAATATTTTAAAACTTTGTACACATTTTAATTTTTTTTTTGAAACAGGATTTCCCTGTAGCCTCAGCTGGCCTGGAATTCACTATGTAGACCAGGATGGCCTTGAACTCAACAGAGATCTGCCTGCCTTGCCTCCCAAGAGCTCATACTACAGGCGTGTGCCACCATGCCCGACTCTAAAACTTTGTATACATTTTAAATTACAATTTTCAATTAAAATTTCAATAACTATTTTGAAGTTTAGTAATTCTTAAGAAAACGTAATCATCCATTACAATAAAAAATTGAAAATACCTTGTAATATCTAAAGTAGTCACTTTCAAGAAGTTTTTGTAGTCTTGGGAAAAGTCTGTAGTTATTAAATCTATCAATTGTTTCAACATCGCAGGTACAATCATCCAAGTAGCCACTAACCTGTCACAAAGAAAATGAAATATTAAATTAAAATGTCCTAGATACAATAAGGTTCTTTTCCCTCACATGATTATGATTTTTCATAACCTCCTATTCAAAAAACCCTTATCTTCCCTCCCCTCATGATTCTGAGATGGAGCATGGCAATAATCTAGTAATGCCATCACTCTGCTTGTACTCCTAGAGCAATACAGTGCATACTGCTATAGGGTTTGCTGAGCTCATCACACACACACATACACACACACACAAAAGCAGCTGACTTGTAGCCCTGCCCTCCAGACCCTGGTGACCTTAACAAGAGGTGGGCACTATGATTAAGAGGAACAGATGTGTTTCCCTATGGTTAGATCAATAAACAAGGAAATTTAGATCATATTCTATCATGTAAACTGATGAGAACATGAACCAATCATCAAAGGAAAAGTGTTTTGTTTTTTTTTTTTTGGTCTTTTTGAGACAGGGTCTCCCTGTAGCCCCAGCTGGCCTAGAACTCACTATGTAGCCAGGCTGGCCTTGAACTCATAGAGATCCACCTGCCTCTGCCTCCCAAGTGCTGGGATTAAAGGCCTGCACCACCACACCCGGCTCCAAAGGAAAGATTTTTAAGAGAGAGAGAGAGACAGAACCAGAGCCAGAACAGAGAGCTCCTACCTTGGGAGACCTGGGAGATGTAAGCTGAATTAACCCTTTCTTACCCAAGTTGGTACTGGTCAGAGTGTTTTTTCACAGCAATAGAGAAACAAACTAGAACAGATGTGTTTAGGAATTACTTATCATTAGCAACACTGAGATACTAAACTGACCACAGTAAATCCTAACTTAACACTGATGACTTGAACCCCGCTTATGAGATCAAATTATTAAATGTACCTACATCAGGATAGAATGGGAAGTTATAATCAGGCAGTGTTATCAGTTGTGAAATTAGAAGTCTTGGATGTTTATTTGGGGTTAAGCAAACACCTAATAGAAGTAATGAAACATTAGGGAAAAGTACATAATGATTCACAAAATCAAAAAAGAAACAGCACCATCAAAGTGAAGAAAAGACCTTCATGTACTATACTTAAGTATGAATATATGCATTGTAAAAAATGTTGATTTAGGGACTGGAGAGATGGCTCAGCAGTTAAGAGCACTGACTGCTCTTGCAGAGGACCCAGGTTCAATTCCCAGCACCCACATGGTGGCTATAAACTGTCCTTAACTCAGTTCCAAGGGAATCTGTAGCCCTCTTCTGACCTCCATGGCAGGACTGCACCACACAGGTGCACTCACATACAGGCAATACACTCACACTCATACACATAAAATAAAAATAAAGTATTTTTTAATGTTGATTTATGGGCCGGCGTGGTGGCGCATGCCTTTAATCCCAGCACTCGGGAGGCAGAGGCAGGCGGATCTCTGTGAGTTCAAGGCCAGCCAGCGTGGTCTACATAGTGAGTTCCAGGACAGCTGGGGCTACAGGGAGACCCTTTCTCAAAAAAAAAACAAAAAAAAAGAAAGAAAGAAAGAAAAGAAAAATCCAGGAGCTGAAGAGACGGCTCAGCAGTTAAGAATACTGGTTGTTCTTGCAGAAGACCCAGGTTCGAATCCCAGCACCCACAGGGAAGCTTGGCCTGACAACCTATGGGCAGCACTAATTGGTTTCAGTCGGTAACTAAAGAACATGAAATTGGGGGATGTAGGATGGATCTGAAAGGAATTAGGGATAAGACTGGGGGTGAATACTGATCAAAATACATTGTGTGCACATATGAAATTCTCGAAGAATTAATAAAAATTATATAAAAATAAGGAAGCAAGTAAACAATACTTTATTCAAGTAATTAATATTTTACCCTTGAAATATGTAAAATTTTATACTATCTTTTCATTTAAGAGCGCTGCAAATCAGTAATAGAAAATTTTCACCTGTAAACAAGAACACTTTAGATGGTACCA